GCCTCTTAGATGGAGACTGATGCAAAATGATAATTTGTCTCATTAGGAATCTTATTATTTGCTCCTGGTAATATCAGACAAATTTCTAAATCATGAAGATGTGCTTTTGCTGAAATAGCATCTTGAAAAATTTTATTTCAGCCATATTGATTTAGTCATTGTTTTCCTAGTGTCCTTTTATTCAGTGATACTCATGTCTCCTAAATTATCATTTCTTCTAATAGCATTTAAAAGAGCTGTGTTTCTTTTAACTTTAGGACCTATCATTTAATTAGTCTCCTTTTTTTTTTTGAAATCCCCTTTTCCAAGATTAGTGGCAAAGCATCACATTTTGGTGTCCTTCCTTTTCAACAGTGAATGTAATTTGTCTGTCCTGTGACTCAGCTACTGTTGCTCTGGAATTACCTTCTGTGCATTATTTAAGAGATGCACATGATGTTTTTAGTAATGTTCACTCGTTCTAATAGTATCAATTTCAAAGTAGATTAAAACACAGTAAGATGCCACATAATTTAAAAAAAAAAATCTGTATACTGAAAAAAAAAGAAGATAATTTTAAAACACTTCATTGACAAGTCTTAAAACCAATTGGTTTTCCTGGGGGTAATTTAGAGCTACTAGTTGCTCCATGGGGTATGGGGTAATATTAAAACTGACAAATTTCCCCTAAAGCAGTGGGCCCAAGGCATACAGTGTTGCAGTATGACACCCCTGTAGTACTTCCTTTCTCAAGTAAATTGCGCATTGGATGGTTCTGATTTCAGAATCCACTTCCTTTAGGTTCAATTTCATAAAAATTTTAAAACAGCTCTTCTCTAAGAGTTTTCACCCTTCACAGGAAATAGTACATCAATTTAACAAAAAACATCCAAATGCAAGTACTTGTATTCAGGGGCCACTAAAGACGATGAAGAAAGGCAGCATTCACAAAGCGCAGCTTTAGTCCAGTGAAGCTCATCTTCCGTGTGCCCTTTGCAGTTCATGGAGAAAGGCCAGGTCCTCCAGAGGATGTTTCAGAGCAGCAAGCTGGTGTCTGAAATCACGTGAAAAAACCCCACACAGTTCTCTGCATTAACTACAGAATATCCCTCCTCACAGCTTTTCAAATCTGTGTGTCTGAAACGGGGCTGACATAAACCCTACGTTTTGCAAGGTGCAGCGTCTGTGCTCCCACAGTCCATTGCCTTCCATCTTACTTCCCCCACCCGGTCAGTGTGGAAAAGCAGGCCACCCTCAGCCAGGGGCAGAAGAGGAAAGGACGACCTTTGCATTGGGTACACGGGTGTGGAAAAACATGGCTTTTTGTTTTTCAGGGCATGAGGCATTCTTTCTAAAGCCACGCAGGTGAGTGCACCGCTAAGCAGCTTCCCTGCGGAGGCCAGCATGCAGGAGCAGCAGTGTGGCTCCTGTGGACGGCGAGCAGAGCTCTGTGCTAGGGCACTCTGGTTAATGAACTGAAAACATTATTAACTAAGCCAATACCAGCCTAATGGGAAATCTGTCTCCACATATGTTGCATAATTTTTATATTATTGAACCAACTAGGAATTGTTTAATCAACAAAGCCAGCAGGAAACCTTCAAACAGCAGGAGAGTGAAGAGACATGCGCTTGTTTGCCGATTAATTTTGTGCATGCTCAAGCCTCTCAGGTTTCCTGTCCTGAGCAGGGCTTTCCACTTCTCGTTGGGCGACATCTTCATTTTCTCTAGGAGGAGTTTCTGTGGTCAGCTGGGGGCTAACAGTGTGTGTCTACATCCACCACTTTCATCACCACGCTTGCCTTGTGACCAGCTGCATTACAGGAGCTGTTGCTCGGTCAACTTGGATCTCACTAATAACGACCACAAGATAATTTGGACATGTATTTTCTGTTCAGAAGGACTGAAGATTTCTTCTGCACTGGAGTAGTTTTCTGACCCAGCTGTGACTATTTTATAGGAAAGACTAAACCTCAAGGCACGAGACATGCTTGCACTCTCCCATGAGAACTCCTGCATGAGAAGAAAACTGTATTTTTAAATTCTTATGTACATTGATTGATCCATTTCTATGCTTAAGTCAAAGTACGGTCAATATGCCTGAATTTTAAAATACTTCTCTAAATACCTGGGTTTGTTCCTGTTAAGAGAGAAGCTGCTGCCCGAGCATTCACACACCAATCAAGGTGTCACACACACTACCCGAGACTTTTAACTGCTAGGACCGGGGTCCCTTTGCAGCGGGCGACTCCAGTGAGCCAAGGGGTGCCCATTCTGACGCCTCACACACACACCACTCTCACCCTCGGGCGCTGCTTCTTCCCTCAGGCTCAACCCTACGTTCCCTGAAGCAGAGACTCCAACACGACGTATGTCAGAGGAATTTATTGAGTGGTACAGTGGTATAGGACAGCTTGAGCTGGGGGCCTCCAGAGAGGGACCCCAAACAAAGAAATCTCTGGGCAATTTATCCCTTACAATCCAAGTTCCCCTCCCCTCACACAACGGTTCAGTCCAATAGTAATATTTGGATCCGGGGTTGTCTTGTTCCTCATTGGATCCCTTTTCAGTCTCCAGGCGGGCTGTTCCTTTTCTTATCTTGAGGATGCAGCTTCTGCTGACAGATGTGGCTACTTTATTTTTCACAGGATGCACCTTCTTGGGGCCTCCCTTCATGTAACTAAGTATAAGTTCAGCATAAGCTCACCTCTTGTGGCCTAAGGCTTCAGCAAGTCTTTCTATTAATGCTATACAATGGATTTTGTTTGAGCTAGGAAGTAACTATACAATGGATTCAGTTTTAAACTACTGTAACAGTTCCCATTCTAGCCCTTCATCGGGCAGTGATCCTTTTTTGTTATATGCACTGGACCTGTGAAGTGCCATGAAAGCGCAATCCATGACCTGGCTTGTTTATCTTAGTGTCTCATCTCTGCTTTCTAGATAACTTAAGTGTAATCTGTGAACTCTTCGGAGCCAAGACATTGTTTGGTATCTACACCTAAAATTCCACGAGCTCCGAGACACCTTGGAGTCCAGAAACAAAACATCTACAATTCCTAAAATTAAAAAAACCTTACATATTCTCCACCGAAAGCTTGAAATTAGGAATGAATGTATTGTTCACCCTTTTAATAATACCTGGTTCAACAGACAAACCAACACATCCTGATGATACCCGAGTTCAGATCGGGTACTGCCACGTTTCCAGGCGTGATCAGTGGCAACCTGTCTGAGCCCTGAAAGGAGACAATACACTGGAGGAGATGGAGGAAATCAGAGATTTGCTTTTGACGCAGTCATATAACATCATGATAAAACTTTTCTTTTTCAGTTCTTATATGCAGAATATGTACTCCTCATTGTTGCTTATTTTGTTAAAACCCACCAACTTGTTTGACTCCAGCAGGAGTTTTGCTTTTAGAAAGAGGCTTGCATAAATTGAGACACCAAAATTAATTTCTAGAAACAACCAATGATTTTCTCTTAGTTCTAGTATATCAGACTGCATTTTTACCTTTGCTTCTTTTAGAAATGAAGAATAAATGTCTTAATAACATTAAACTAAACAAACTGAAAGAAATGTAAAAAATGTTGTTATGGGGATACAACTAAAATTCTGTAAATGAGTTTTATGCTGTAAATGACTTGTACTCACCCTTGTGTATCCTTTAGAAATACGTTAAATCAATTTTTGAGACTTCTGCAATGTGCAATGTATTCATCTTTATTCACATAACATTCAGACTCAATGTTGGAGATTTTTTAAAAAATGAATTTTATTTAGTTTTTCTATATATTTCTGTTCAGAGGAAGATTTCCTAACATTAAAAAAAGTCATAATTGATAAGTTTAGCTGATAGATTGGCAGCTGGCATAAACTTTTAACTAAATTTTGTTGAGTAATGCTGACAGACAGGTTGCAAATACCAAACAGTTACTAAAAGGAATTAAACCACCTAATGCTAAAACTATGATGGATTCCTTATAGGACAAGGTCCACCTAAACACTTACATAAACAGCTCTTTCAATCTAAGATATTAAATAAGAGAAATTATTTTAAGACTGTTTTGTAAAGCCTTTTAGTTAAGACAAATAAAAATAAGAGTACACATCAAACAGAGTCTGATTCTTCAAGCCTGATGGACAAGTCTTCCCTGGCCTTCAAAGGAGTTCTTTCCTGGCTGTACTTTCAGGACAACTTCTTCTGAAAATTTTTCATAACTGTATTTTAATTCCTAATTAATAATTTAATTTCTTTTTTAAATACAGACACCAAGTTCATTTAAAAATAAACATATCTGTTTTCTTCTTCCTCTGAACTCGACACCAAAGCTTTTGCTAAAAAGTAAAACTTGAAATCCCATTTTTAGTAACTTGCTGCTGAAAGCAGATACTGCTGATTGCACGAACCCAGATACAAATGAGCAATGAGGAATTAAACTTATAGATACACTAAAGCTAAATGAATTGATTTTTGCAAAAGAAAACCAAACAGCTTGTAGAAGGCAAGTAATTAGTAACCAAAAGAAACCACAAAAGCAATAAAGAACATCATAAACCTATTAACATTACACAGAATAAAACGTTAAAGAATAATCTCCATTCCAAAGTAAAAATGATTTGCCAAAATGCTAACAGCACCAGGTAAAAAGCAGCCTTGCATTAAAGCCAGAGCTGGAACAAAGCACACTTTGGGTGAACACATACCCTTTTGTGACACAGAAGTGCTTTGCTCAGTTGTGTCCTTTTTTAATTATTTGGTGATGCAAAGCTGGCTGCAGTACTTTGATGCCAGTCCCACTGCCCCACCTTTGCTCCCATTAGCTATCTCTTAGTCATAGCTCCCATCACCAGAAGCAGCAAGCAACTTCCAGATGCACATAGTAAACCACGTATCTAATTTCTTGTTGCCCACAGAGCAGTGCATGAGTTCAGTTTCGGGGGGAGGGAGGCCGAGGCACTTGCTGCGTTGTATTTCATTTGAATTATTTCCTGAGGGAAAAGGGATCCTTGGTGGTCACTGGTGCCTGTCGACAGATGACAAGAATACAAGCCTTTTTTTCTTTAACACAATTGTAATGAAAGCTCCAAATGAAGGCCATGGAGAGAAGAGCTGCTTTGCTAGCTTCTCACTCTATTTCCCTAGGAGAGATCACCACACTGAGGCTTGGGCGGTAGGACTCCTCCTCAGCACAAGCCTGCCTGACGGCTACCGACATACCAAATACACTCTCTGTAATCTCAGTACTCCTTACGTGGGATCTTCATGATTTCCTAAGGCGGTTTTTCCCATCCCTCTGAGTGAGGGCTGCTCTGATGTCTATCTATCATGGAAGGTTCCCCTCTTCTCAAGACTCCCCCCACCAAACCCCAAAGAAATTACAACAAAACACCTCCTGTTGAGCTTATATATGACTTTTGAGAACAACACAGCTAGTGTCATGCTTAAACGGGATGGATACTTCCTCACAGAGTGGTGAGATTTCTTGGTTGTTTTTCTTGAGACATTTCCCTAGTCCATCTTTTGAGCCTGTTATCACAAACCTACCTTGAGATGTTAAGCTTTCACCCCAGCCAAGCCGAGTCAGACAACTGAGATAGGGAAAGAGGAAGAACCCTGAGAGCTTTACATATAAGTCTATCTCCTAAATTTAGTGGCCAACCAGGAAGACTGATCTGGAACTGGGACTATTGGCTCCTAAGGTTATAAGAAAGAAAAAACATGCAACATGCACACCTGTGTATACATAGATGCACACTATGTTATAGCTAAAAAAAGTTCATCTATAATTGCTAAATATTAATTTTGATCTGTTCCTTGTTTTACTGTTTAAGATCTTATGTCTAACTTTGCACTTTGGAGTAATAAACATTTGTATTTGCTTTTTCATTGGACTTACTATTCCCCCAACTCTTGCTTATTATAACCTTGAATTCCTGAGATACTGCACCATTCCCTGTCACAACCTTTAGTACGATAAAGCAACTATTTGTTACACATTCACCTTCTGCAATACAATTAAAGCAAAATAGTTATGACTCAAATTGTAGCTACTGCTGTTTATGATAGAATGAGGATTTTTGCTTCTTATTTATATTATCTGTTGAAGAGGTCTGAGAGACTCAAGGCACATTCATAGATCAATGTACAACTTTTAAAGCCTGTATCAACAGTCTTGTTTTTCCAGTTTAGTATTATCAGTATGAAGGTAGACAAACCAGACATCCACACAGGATCTGGTGGAATCATCCACCAGGAACTACTACATGAGCAGTTCAGAGTAATGAGGGCATGAGCCATGGGAATTTTCCTTTTTGACTTAGGATAACTTGATTTGCGTGGATTGTGCAAGTGATTTCGCCTTTTGGAACTCTGTCCTTGCCAGAGAAAGAGAACTGCTGTGTTAGTGGCTAACTGAGATGAAGTCCATTCTTCCAACAGGAGATGATATTGCTGTGACGTTCCTGCCAGTGGCCACTATTAAATCCTGCGTATGTTGTATGCTACAGTGCAGGGTCAGACTCCAGAGAGGAGTAAACAACACTATTCCTTAGAACAAGAGTGCCTCTGTATGGAGTGATAACAGTTCTGTAAACCAAACTGATTGCACTAGAACAATATAAAATTATTGCATTAGAAACTGGGTTAATTAAACTTTAACTATAGTAAAAAAAAAGGAGTATTTTTGATTCAGCTATTATGTAAACAGGACAGACAAACTCCCCTAAACAACAACATTTATAGCAAAAGAACAATGGACTGCTTTAAAATGGACTTTTCCCAGTTTGCTTCCACACTTCTTTGGCTCCTTTAATGCTTTCTCTTTTCACACACTTCCAGTAACCTTGAATGCCTTGCTGTTGCGGTACCTGTTAATAAAGTTAAAGTATGTTTAGCATTTACACAAAAAAGACTTTTATTCACAGACTGTGTAAATATAACATGTAATGCAGTGCTGCTGCTTCCATAGTTCACATGCATAATAACAAGTTCTTGGTGGCAGCACTCCTCCCAGATTCATAAGCAGTAAGGAATATTCAGTTTAAAATATAACTTCTTTCTATTCACTATCTCTACTTGTGTTTCTACAAGCGTTAACATGATAGTTGTAGCATTCATCTGTGGTATTTAAAAACAATGATGTCAGCTTGTTACCCTCAAACCGCGATGAATTCGGTTCCTCAGGACTCCAAGAAACTCGCTGTGACTCAGGCAGTCATCTCCATCTAGATCAAAAATCTTGAAGATGGTATCCAAAACATTATCTGAGAGCTCCTGTCCTGTTGCCACCTTCACTGCTCTCTTGAACTCAGCTAGTAAAGACATAATATTACATCACAGGTGACTGTGAACTTGTAAAGAAATTGGAAAGCACATAAATAGCAGGATTCTGTACAATTTACAGTGTCTCATGGGTATCCTAACTGGAGAATTTGTAATGTGTGAACTAGTAAACTATTAGGAGGCCTCAGTTCATGTGCTCTTGAGCTTGCTTCATCTTCCATAACACTACCTTTCTTAATTGTATCATAAATTTTTGAAATGCACTACTTCTCAAGCAACAGCAAGAGTGACAATTTTTGCTAGAAATAGCTGCATGCTGAAAACTTACGTACTTTCGGCTGATACCTGTGCATATGGATGATAAGTGTTTACATCACTACGGTCTCATAAAAAAATTTTATCTCGAATCAGTTTCATGCCAATTCATTCTGCAAGAAAACTCTTTTCCTCAGAGCACAGTATTTTATGATATGCTCCACCTCAACCAACAATCCCCTCAGCAACTCTGTAGAAACACAGACCATCAAATACTCAATGCACTCTTTACAGCACATAGCTTTATATACCTGTAGTTCTTTTAAAGTAGGCTACTTTGTCTTAAATAATGATTGAAGAGTTTAGGAGGATTTATGGCAGAAAAAGCTGTCATACCTCTCTGGATATCTACTTTCCTCTTCAGCTTTTTGGCCTTCTCTCTTCACACTACCATGTGCATTACACTAATACCTCCATATCCCCACTTTTGGTCTTATGGTGTAAAGAATTTGGAGTTTTGACTCAAAGAAGATGAGGAAATGGGGGGGGGGAGATAGTAAGAGTGAAATGATTATTGTTTATTATAGCAAGCACAATCACAACACATGAATTGGATGCATTTTTTAAGGCATCATGGAAGTGTGAATTTCAAGGAGGGACTGGAGGTTATTATTGCAGTATTGTAGATTATTACAACAAGTTGTCCAACTAAGCCATAAATATAGTAATAACATGGTTCTGCTATCATAAACAAGTGCTGTTAATAAATATCGCTATAAATATAATTAGTTCTGAAGCTTACTAGAGGAAAGAGCACTCCTGATTTAGCTCTCATCTTTGCCTCTTTGAACAATTCCTGTATAAATGCAGTTGATTACAGTTGGTTTAAATACACTTAAGTTGAAAATCCTTCTGTAAAAGGATACACCACAATTTGAAACGGACATGAAATATGGGTTGCTTATAGTAGAGTCTTAATTTTGTCTTTAAAAACATGTTAACTGTTTCAGCTCTTGAAGCTAAATGTAAATCCAGAAATGGCACTGCACTTTTTTGAACAGAAGAAAAGGAGAAAGATCTTCTAAAATGGTGAAACACAATAATCTTCAAACCAAGAAGGGTCACCTTAACAGAGAGAAAAGATGAGCTGCTAACTTAGAAGAAAAAAAAGTCTAGAATGAAAGGAAGGACTAAAGGACTGTCTTATTTTTAGATAAATATTCATATGTGTGTGAATACACGCATGTACACACATGCAAACAGCAAGACAAAGAACTTAGTGAGATTCAGGAAAGGATTAGACGTGTATACATGTAACATCCGTGAGTTACCTCAGGAGCTGACTGGTTTTGATCACAGTATGGTTCAGTGCATAAACAAAGTCACAACTGCCTGTTGGTTAGGAATGAGGTTTTACAAGGAAACATTACCAGAGTCAACACCAACTGTAGGCCTCATCATCCTTTGGCATTTAAAAATGGGATACTAAATAGAAAAGCGAACTAAACTCTTGTATCTCACTTAGGACTATATTTTCACCATTAATTCATCCTCTTTCCTCTCCACTCTTTGTACACCTTGTGCAAATAAAATCTGTCTCCCCCACAGAAGAAAGATGTTGTCAAACCAGGCAGAGGAGGGCCACAAACACAGCTGGGAACTGGAGCACATGGTGGAAGAAGGGAAGCTGAGGGAGCTGGGGAGAACAGAAGCATCAGGGGGGACCTTGCTGCAGCCTCCAACTGCCTAAAAGGGGTTACAGAGAAGAGAGTGCCGTATTTTTCTCAAAGGTGTGTGGAGGTAAGACACAGTCATTGTAAGTTGCATCAAGGGTTTGACACAGAAGAGGAAAATCTTCTCAATGAGAGTGGTTAAGTACTAGAACAGCCACTCGGAGAGGCTGTGGAAACCAAACTCTTCCTGAAGGCTGGACAAACTAGTGACAAAAGTCACAAGTTGTAAACCTCCCCAGTTTTGGCCTTCTTTGGTTCAAACCCCATCCAAACACTTCTCTCTCAAGAATACTGAATTATCTTCCTGTCCTCTCACATCTCTCTCACCTTTTTCACATGACCCCATCAAATATTTATTTCAATGAATGTTAATGTCTCATCAAATTTCCTTAGGAACTTTTTATGATGCTATTTTCAAATAACTTATGAGATCTGTCCTTCAAGTATAACAAGCAAGTAACAACCTCAGGTTTATAACAAAAACGATTTTTATGTCCATGAAACTTTTGTTGCACTGCACCTATTTCTACTATATGGGAAGGAAGCAACTTCCCTCCTCCAAATCTTTATTTTAAAACCCACTTTACTACATTGTTTGTTCTTCATAGCCATGATTGCATAACACTATATAAGCACATGGAGAAGGCCGTATGGAGGAATAAATAAAAGACAGCAAGATCCTACAGACCCTGCAAAAGAAGAGATTTCTATTGTTTAGTTTCCTCAGAAAACTAGTTTCACTGTGAGGAAAAAGCTTTGTTATCATCAACTGCTACTAAAGCATGTACTGTTTCAATAAATCCTTCCTAATCTAGAATTTAGATTGGACTGAGAGCAGCCCTGTGGAGAAGGACTTGGGGTACTGGTGGATGAAAAGCTGGACATGACCCAGCAACGTGCGCTTGCAGCCCAGAAAGCCAACTGTATCCTGGGCTGCATCAAAAGCAGCGTGGCCGGCAGGTCGAGGGAGGGGATTCTGCCCCTCTACTCTGCTCTCATGAGACCCCACCTGCAGTACTGCATCCAGCTCTGGGGTCCTCAGCACAGGAAAGACATGGACCTGTTGGAGCAGGTCCAGAGGAGAGCCCTGAAAATGATCAGAGGGATGGAACACCTCTCCTGTGAGGAAAGGCTGAGAGAGTTGGGGTTGTTCAGCCTGGAGAAGAGAAGGCTCCAGGGAGACCTTATTGCAGCCTTTCAGTACTTAACGGGGGCCTATAAGAAAGACAGAGAGCAACTTTTTACCAAGGACTGTAGTGACAGGACAAGGTGAAATAGTTTCAAACTGAAAGATGGTAGATTTAGACTGGACATAAGGAAGAAACTTTTTAGAATGAGGGTGGTGGGACACTGGAACAGGTTGCCCAGAGAAGTTGTGGATGCCCCATCCCTGAAAGAATTCAAGGCCAGGTTGGATGGGGCTTTGAGCAACTTGACCCAGTGACAGATGACCCTGCCTATGGCAGAGGGGTTGGACGAGATGATCTTTAAAGGTCGCTTCCAAGCCAAACCATTCTATGATTCTACGGTTTAGTTTGCTGTGAACGGTCCAGCATATGACAGCACATAAGAACTTACAAATCAAAACATTTTGGGGAGTTTATATTATTATTTTTTCATGAAATAGAATTCATTCAGAATAAAGAACAGCATACTACTTTTGGACTTCACAGCGCTACTTTGGGATAACTTGTTTACATTAATTCCATAACAAAAATGCATTTTTTCTTTTTTAAAAAAATACATACGAAAGGTGTACAGCACTTACCCCGTTTAACAGGACGATTGGCTACAGTAAACATCTGCATGGCAATAGAAAAATCTTCCAGGTTATTTGTAAACTTGCAAAAAGTCTTGAATTCCTCCAAACTGATATTCTAGAGTATCACAGAAGTCAGATGATATACAATGAATAATACATTCAAACCCCAGTAAATCTATTTCATTAAATCTGGTGGGACCTAGTGTTTAGGTGTGATTGCCTACTGATCACCAATATCTGTGTTTCTCATTGGCAAATTATCATTGTTATTTGCGTAAAATTCAAGGGCTGCAATAATTGACCTGGAAACTAGTTACATTATTAGATACTCATATGCAAATGAAAACCTATACGTAAAACAAGGAAGTAAAACAAAGCATGCTTTATGTACTAACCTCTCCTGCTTCAATTCTGTCTTTCACATTCTGCCAGTAAATTTCATTGTTTTCCTCATCAGTGAAGTACAGTAACCATTCTGCAAAGTCTTCTTTTCTCATGACGTTCAAACCCTTTGAAAACTTTATGAATTCCATTTCTTGGACTTCAGTTTGCAGATTTTCCATGAATCTAAGTGTAAACAGATATTATCCAACAGTTGACACATGCATCACTGTGTCACTACTACTAAATGCAGTAGACACTAACTCTTAATCACAGATACTATCGACATCATTGTTTAAAATGTCACTGGTTTAATTTTACCTGTGCGTGCAGATGTTTCCATGGCTGCATTTCAATAATGACACCAGTAGGGTGCTCTCTAAGTCTGCATAGATGGCTGCTCCTTTGCTATTTTACAGATACACTTGGCATCCAGTTTAAACTAATGTTTACAAATGTGCAGATAGTGAGATAAAATAATTGGTAAGGCAGTATTATAATGAATGAATGAAAAAGGACATGGTAACTAAAGGCTTGATACATGATTTATGAAATTTCATATTAATAAGAGAGGAATGACAAGGTTGGAGAGTGCCTAGAAAGACGAGGCCCTGATAACCACAAAAGTGAAAGAAAAGAGGGAACTTGAAATTATAATTTCAAGAAAAGATGACTAAAAGCCCCAAAGATTGTAACTGCAAAGAGAAGTTCGGCAAGTCAGTTCTGTGCTCACTAGAGGATGGATTAGAGAGGATTACCAGTGACATGTACAGGGTTCGGAAAAGCACAGAAAATGATGTTGCAGGTGTTTGGGAAGGTAAGAAGACAGCTGTCTGAAAAAAGGAAGGGGTGAATATCAAGGTTTTTAGGAGACACCCATTCTTTTAGGAAGAAAAGAAAAAAAAGTAGCACGAGAAGCAAGTAACAACCTGCAAGCACAGAGCTAGAACTGTAAGGAGAGTTGTAGCTTTGAGTTTCTGCAGTTTGGTCTGTGTGGCCATTATAATTTCTTCTGGCTAATATTAATTTTGAGAAAGTAAAAGACAATACTGTGTGATCCATTTGGTAATTTCCACTTCAGAAATGGAGTAATCCAAAAACAAGTGATAACTTTTAAATATAAATAAAGGCTAAAAACACAGTGATGCTTGCCAGAATCCCTTTAGTACTTTGAAAGAACCCTGCTTTATTGAGTTGCAAAAATTACTGACAGGAGAGAATCAAATACTCCTATACTGGGACAAAGCAATTAGTTGGAGAAGAGGACAGCTAAGGGTCTATGTAGCAACTATCAGTAGAGGCTCATTTGCTCATCAGTGTTTGCACGGCCTCACTGGGTTTGAATTCTTTCCCTTGAAATTACGGCATTTTAGTCCACACAGCTATCTTTAGTTCTTTAATGAGATCACTTGGAAAATTAGTGTCTCGAAGCTCTGTGAAATCTATAAGGGGTTAGCTGAAGACTGCTGTTGCAGCAGAAGGTCTCTCTTGTATTTTTCCCTCTAATAATTAGAGCTGCACATGCAAATAAAGGGCCAACAAATGCTTCACGGCTCAGGACATGCAGGTAAATGAAGGCCTGACAGTGGAGGTGATTTGAAGTTTCAGGCTAGAGTTTTATTAGGGTAATACTGAGGAGGGGCATGATATGCTCTCACATTTTATATGGGCATTTTTCTAGTCCAGTGAAGGGGGTGACAAGCCTTCCACAGTACAGTCAAACACTGCGGTATATTCCTCCACAGTCCACCGCAAGACCCGGCTCGCTTTCAGGTCCCCAACTCTCCCTCTCGCACGGGGATGGAACACCAAAGGGTCTGTTTGTGCCACCAGTGCGAAGGGGAGCCCCTTGCCTTACAGACCAGCGAGAGCTTCCTTGCACGGCTCGCAAACCACCCTTCAGCGCTCAGACACAGCTCCTGTCCTTCTCACCTGGGAGGCGACTGCTGCCTCTGGCCAGCCCAGTGGTCAGCACAGTGCCGGGGAGACCGGCCAGCGTGGGCTGGCAGAACCAGTCCTGCCGAACCGCCCGCTGGAGCCTCCCCGGATCCTGGGAAGGGAGGTCGAGCCGCGGGAGGAGAAGGCGGCATGGACCAGGCGTGTAGAGCAGGCACGGAGTCAGTCCAGCAGAGACTGAGTAGGGCCACTTGGCCGCTTTTGGGAGTGGTCGTCAAAGGCAAGGAGGAGATGGGAACTGGGATGTGTGGCTTGTGCTTGGCTGGAAGTCGCAGCAGAGACCACGCGGAACAGCAACCGCGTCTTTGACTGTCGTTTCCAACCCATGTAACATCTGGTCTGGGGGAGGAGAACCTGCTGAAAATGAGTTCACTTACAGAAATATGCCTAAAACATGGATGTAGGGAAACAAGACACCATGTGTTTTATTTTCTTGGCTTTTGATCTATGAAAGGTGGACACATTTTGCAACAGACTTTAGGTCTGTTATTGAAAGTATGAGTTATTTATTTTGGGGAGCTAACTCTCAGTCATTTGCTTTACTGGTCAGTAGCCACAGGTGATGACAAACTACACATTCTTCCATCTTTTCTAAATACTGCATTTCCTTAGGGAGAAAATCCTGCCCTCTAGCCATACCCAATAAAGGCAGGACAGCTAAAAGACCAAGCATTTCTACATGCTGAGGAAGGAGTGGGTGGCCCACCTAGCCACACGCATCAGCCAGCTGAAAGGTGCAGCAAAGCCAAAGAGGAAAGTGAAGGGTTTGGCTGTGGCATTTCTGATGTGTTCTTGCTTCTGCACCCTCTTCTAGTCATACAGCAAACGAAGCGTTCTATTTCTCCAGCCCCACTGTGGGTTTTCCACTGCTTTTTCTGAGGCCTGGGTTCTTGCCCTCTCCAGTTGCTTTGAGGCAATGACACTGCACCCTCCCTGTGGCAACAAGAGCCGTGCGTCTTGCTGCACTACGCAGATTAGGGAGGGGAGTGGGAATTACTTATTTAGGTACAAAAAAATTAATGGATATTTCATTTCAACCTGTAGGCTTGCTCCTGGCAAGCCAGAGTGAGAAGATTTCCTGCCATACCAAATGCTACTTGGAGCAGCAGCTGAAATGTACAATTTAAAATTTATATGATAGCCTCCCATATTACAAAAATTAAAATACTATGAATCATCACATCAGCATTCTAGGTCACTCTTATTCCCAGATGTGAGAGTTAAAAATCCTAATGAGTTTTTTTTTAAGTGAAAGTTATTAGAAGTTATTAAAAATAACTTTCTGGTTAGGAAGTAAAACTTGATACTTAAATGCCAAGACATCACTAGGGATACTTGCTTTCGTATCTTCTGGATCATGGTGCGATGAGTTTCAGCTGGAAATTCCTTAAAAATTTATCCAGATCTTAGGAAAAATAAGCATAGGAATGAAATTCCTGCTCTCCCAAAGTCAGTGGGAGCTTGGCCGGGGACTTTGAAAGGAGTCAGAAATCAACGACGGGAACAGGATTCTGATTGTAGATGTGCTCTACAATTCAAAAATAATTACACTGGGAATACTCTTATGCTGTAGTAGCTTGAAAATAAAAGCAAGCCCTAAGTTTCCAAGTAACAAAAAGGAAAGGTAAATCATAAATTTATAAGACAGGGAAAAGGCTGGGAACAGACAGTGCTTTCTTTAAGATGGCCTGTTTTATCCACGCTCTCTAAAACACCCACGTTGAAGGCCAATGGCCAAATTCGTTATCATGTTACAACAGCATCCAGAAACCTTATCAGGATTTATCCCTCATTTTGTAATGTGCTCTACTATAGAAAGAGGGAGTCTCTCTAGACTTTTTGGCAACTCAGCTTTAATAGAAGTGAAAATGTAATAAAAGTGGGGAGACCTCAGGAATGCAGCTATTGCCCCTCCAACCTGAGATGTTGCAATGAAGTGCTAGCGTTGTATTACTTATGGTACATAAAGTAGTAGAATGAAACACAAAGGGAAAGGTTAGGGCTAGTTTTCCTTCCTATACCTCTTGACCTGAACTGAAAGTCTCTGCAGAGCTTTAACACTCTAATACAGAACTGTCCAGTTCTTGTTGCACTGATTTATAGGAAGGAAACTTAACAACAAAGATAGTGGTGAATATATCACCCTGCCATTTGTACTTTGCTCCGGCTCCTCTTTGGACACTGAAGCCCTTTTGAAGACTTGATGACCCTCTTTGCACAAAAGACTGTTGCAAACCAGCTGCAAGGTTGCCTTTTTGCAATTTGACCTTCAAAACAGAATATAGAAAATTTAATAAAGGCTTGACCATTGACCTTTAGAGAACATTTAAGTCTATGCTTGTAAATTCAGTTTTGCAAGCGGTAAGACAGTTAATCAATCTCCCCATTTTCAGAATTACAGGCAACCCCCTTTTTGATTTACTGTCCTCAACGTTTCCAAACCAAACAAAACAGAACTACTCACTTTCATTTATAAGCATTCTGTAGAAACTAATCAAGCTATTCTTTTGCTAAGTGTATAGGAAAGGAAGAAACAGCGATTCTTCTCAACATCATTACTAAGTATTTGGGAAATATTCAGATTCAGTTATGATAGGAATACAATCACAAAGCCAGATTTTGTTCCCATCTCTACTTCCTCACTCTCTGATCCTGGGTGCACAAGATGTAATCTCTATGTGTATTAGGGCTCTATATACATACACACACACACAGATACAAGTGTAGGTACAGGGACAAATGAGGTGGCAACCATATTCTATTTCTGCAAAGCACTTCCAAATCCCTAGATGAAAATCACTGAAAATGTACAAGCTATCATCACAGCAAAAGCCCTGCTGGCTGACGATGCTACCTGGAAGAGATTCTGCATCCAGGCATTGGCGCAAACACAGAACAGCACCAGACAAATGTCAGCACTAGCAGTGTGGTTCAGCCCAGACCATTCTGGTTTCTTAAATGAAAGGTTTCAGATGAAACGTACCATGGAATTCAAAATACTGAAGGAAAGAAACATGACAGGTAGGGAAAAAGACATGTTTTGTGTATGGTTATACAATTTGTGACCTTTAAGCTAAAGCAGAAAATAAAAAAGAAACCACGATTAAAGAATATTTCTGGTGCAAAATTCTATTAACTGCTGAGACGTTTGGAAGCAACAAATCAGATAAGAAAATGCTCTAAACTGGATTTGAAAAGTTAACTTTCCTTAGATGATTAAAAGATGCCAATTGTTTAACCATACTGGGAAGTACGTTTTTGTAAGCCATCCCAGGAAAAACATACAACGATCAGAAAGTTTTTTGAATATTCTTTCCATACTCTCTGCACTTTTTCTTTTTTTTTTTTTCTTCAAGAAGATTGTGAGAGATTTAAGCTTGCTTGGGGACAGATTACAGAAAAAAATCATGGCAGTCATAAACTGTTTAGGGAGTGAATTACTGTCTCCTCTTTTATTTGGGATTAGACATACTTAAACAAGATCAGTAAGGGACTTTTTTCAGGGAAAAAAACCAGTGGCTGTCAAGAAGAAATATTTGCTATACCTAGAAAAAATAGTTTTCTGCTCAGAATAAAAGATAGTACATAGAATATAGCTGGAAATTAAAGCGCAAGTGAAACATTTTTTGGAAGGAAAAGACCAAGAATTATGTATGTCTTAAGAAACAGAGGAAACACATGCAAAAGAATAAAAAGTGTGGAACCCAGAGAACTTCTGGCTTCATGTTTGAAATCTGTCATTCCCCAAGATGAGTCCTGGTATTAGAAGATGATGCTGTTGAGGTGTAAAACTGAGTGGTGGTCATCTGAAACAGAAACTTGTTCAGCTCTTCTAAGAAAGTCTCACCTGGTTACAGCTTCTTGTATTAAATCTACCCTTCTTTATTATATGATTTTAGGCTTGCTGCGTATTGTTTTATATTTTCTTAAACTGATACAGGAGTATAATGATTCCAGCTGTATCTGACTAGGAGGCAATACCTTTACCAGTGATGTACATAAACATACTCCAGAATAATTCAGATTTACATTTCCTAACTTTTGCCAGGGAAACAAGCTGTTGCTTTTGAAGTTGTGAATTATTATTAATAATTATCATACGGTCCTTATGTTAAGGACAATACAACTGGCAAGAAACCATGTAGCAGTCTGGAGCTGAACATGTGTCCCTTGAGTCATACCTTAAGATCCCTGAAACCACCTCGTTACTATGGGAAAGACACAGGACGGTGGGCTTTCTGCATTGCTTCCACTACTTCTAAGCAGTCCCTGGAGAAGCTGCAGAACAAAGCGGGAGTCCCACCACCACTGCTCAGCAGAGAATGAAAAGGAGCGGCTTTGGTTGCTGTTTTGACTATGTTCTGTAGGACAGTGAGAAAAGAGCATGACTGGTGTCACAAAATACCTATGAAAAGGTTACTTCTTTACTTCCAAGCTCCCAGAATCCCAAGAAAGGTTGAAAAGTGATTTGATATTCTGTTTCATGGTCTCATTCTTTATGTCCAGTAAAAAACACCCTGAGGACTGTGCTTGTGTGTATTGCCTACCTATGATTTCCCAAGAACCATGCACCAGCTGGGCACAGATGGAGCACAGTGTGCTTAACTATTTTCCCTCCCTGCATCAGTGTGCCTCCTGTGTTCAGGGCAGTAGGAAGGGAGGCACAAGAGCTGGCTTATATCAGCTCCACGTTGCCTGGAAAGATGTAGACAGTTTCCATTTTTGTGTGCTGTCTGAATGCAAAGAAAGGAGAACAGGGCAAATTAATTGCCCTGATATATTCGCTGTGGCTGTCTGACTTATTTTAAATCTTGGGACTGTGGGCTAAAAGGGTCAGACATCACTGGTGTACATGTAGATACAGATGGTTGCACACTTACAAAAGGATTTTTTAATGTTAGCCAAACTGAAAAGGAGGAAGCATGAGGAAAATATATGTAAGTAATGAGGTGAGAACACTAGTCTCAGCTTTCTGAATTCCCATGTAAGTACAGTGAAATTTTACAAAGAAAGCATTCCTGCCTTTTTTTTTTTTTTTTTTTTTAGTTTCAAGGACTCTACAGCACAGCAATATCTGTGTATTTAACTAATGTGACAAGTTTTAGTGTGTCCTAATCAAACCTAATCACCCCTACTTTCTACTAGGTACTACACTGATCAATGGAAAAGCTTTCTAGGCAAGAAGTTGGAAAATGATAAAAGCATTTACCATCATTATTTTCTGCTTTTGACAATGATCTATGTCTGTACAGCTCATCAGTCATCTCTTGTAAAAACAGCATGGCACTTTGATCAAACAGCCAACAATGGCTTCCCGCGTAAGGTAAAATGTTATGAGAGGCCATCAGATAGAAATCACATTTTCTCTGAACAATAGGAACCCAGAAATGATGTGCTTGATTTACTTGCAAATAAAATCATGTGAAAGGTGATATCTTCACAGAGGTTAAAAAGACAGTGATCCTTTTATTCACCTTTCTGCGTGTTAAACAAACTTCACTGTCATGTTGCAACTGAGATGGAGTGTCTACACAGTGATAAAGAGGCACATTCCAGCTCTACGAAACATAACTGCCACTGTTGAAAAATTACCTGCATTAAACCTTACACTTATCCCACAAATTTTAAGAGCAAGATGTGGGAGTTTGATTTTGATTACAGGCCTCTATCTGTGTGGTAGGCAAAGGTCTTTAACCTATGCATTCTGAATGTACTAGGTACATAGTTTCATCAATGTCATGCCTCATTGGGTCAATGTAGGATTTTATCTAAAACCTGAGGCTTTTCAGTTTACACTGTGTATGCAAACACAACCTTTTACTGGTGCTCTCTGCCTTTTGTTTCATTGAGAGGATCTACGGTATTTACAGAAAAGGTAGCTAGAGGCATCTTAAAACTTATTTTACTCACTTAGATTCCTATTGAGTCGAGGTCTTCAAAAGAGAAAGGTTGTTAATTTGAAGACTGGTGTGTGCCAGAGCCAGTGGAGCCAAACGCTTTTCAGTGTTAGAAAAATTGCCACTCTTCCTCTTCTACTCTGGCTTTCCCCAAGCCTCTATAGATTGCAACAACATTCATTTTTAAGAGGGCTGAGACAGATTCTCTGCTTCTGAACATAAATTGAAGTAAAACACATTATCCTAATTTATTTTTGCAGTCTGTAAATGACTTATTTTTGTAGAAAAGGTAATACTGATGTAGGTAATCTTCTCTTGAAGTTGTGCTACCAGGCGTGTGTCAAGATTCACACAGGTATTTAGGCACTTAACTTCCATTTATCTCAAAGAAAGACTGTATGTTTGGATTCTGGGCACAAATTCACATAGCAAGATGTGTCTGGAGTTCATACTAACAGGAGAAATTGATCTCCCAAGTAACTGAGAGTTTTAACCACTTAAGTTGTGATGCTGTGTAGGTGTTGGTCATCATTACTGATTGAAATAAACATTGGAAGAAAGAATCTCATCCAACTAAAACACTAACAGCTGATACCTGGTTGGGTTTTCAAGTTAAAAGCAACCACAGCAGAACTTCATACTCTGTTGTAGACAAGGATCACACCATCTTTCTGACATGTATATGATGTACAAACTGAACGATTCCCTACACCAGTCTTAGAACTTTCTGTTAACTGCTGATTTTGCAAAGCTTACAGTGAAACAGGTGGGTAAACAGCGCTACGTTTCCAGGAGTAATGGCCGCTTGGTATTCCAGTGTAGTTTCAGTCTGACGTGGTGTTTACCATCTGGCTCAATTCTCAGTTTTGACCTAAGTGCCATGAAGTATCCGCATAGTCCCATTGCAAAAGTAGTTCAAAGGGTTAAGGAAAAGGCACAGGTGAAGTTTCAACAGAAGCTGGAATTTAAAGCAAGCAGAGAAGTTTCCTGTAGCCTAACATGACAGCTGTAACGGGGAGGGGGGTATCTCAGCTCAGAAAAGCTTTTTTAATTGATTAGCAGTCACTTCTTAGTGATTTGATCAAGAAAAATATTCATGAATCATATTGTCTTAAGGTATGCCATCACAGAGCTGCCAAGAATGGTAGTCTCAACCCTCACAGCCTCCAGGCCCTCTGCTGCTTTGGAGTTATCATGGTGCCCAACTCCTCCTGCAGACAGCAGACTCCAGGAGCTACACTAGAAATTTAATCATGCAAAATCATAAACAATCTCCTGCTTCATTACCTGCTCAACTTTCTGAATCAGCTCAGTGTGAGGTCAGATTAATGCCAGTGTTGGTGCAAAGTAGAGGGGGTAGGAACAGGACTGGCCGCCGTTAGGCTTGCCTAGCTGAAAAAATACCTGAAAAACTCAGAATAGTGAAGTTTTTCCTTTCCTTCTTTTCCAAAGAAATGTACCAGCAACATGGTATTAACACCACAGCTTTCCAGTTCTACTCCCTATAAAACAAAAAATTGTATGATTAATTATTATGCATTGTATGATTATTAATATCTATTCACCACAAATCTAGAAATATTTATTTGAACTACAATTTCACAACAGATACTTGCAATTCAATTACCGTTCCCAAAGCTATCCCAGAGGATCTCAGAGCTGAATAATTATTCCACATCAACTAGTAACAGTGTATTATTATATGTTCTGCTTCTATATATTCTGTATGAAAGATGAGCACAATTTACAACCACCTTCAGTGTATTTTATTAGAACTGAGAAGGTTGCTAGTTAAATCTTTAAAAACCTTTATGTGCAGATGAATAGAGGCTTTAAATAAAGTTATTATCTTTGTAAAAAAGTTTTTAGTCAGATATTTCTAATTTGTTACAGCCATTTAAAAACATTCATGATAGTCTAAGAAACGAAACTAGAAAGAAACATTCACAGTGCTCTATCATAATGTGGTCTTACAAGGCTTCTCACAAATTTTCGATGTGAGTGACTTTTCTATATATTTTTTAAAATCTGATGAAGAGATTTCTGCAGAAAAAAGCATGCACATTATTTCAACTCAACAGCATCTTTAACAAGCCTAAAACCACACATAATGCTGGATTTCTGTTCTATTCTTCTTTCAGCACTAGCATACTGGCATTTCTTTGAACACAACAAAACACTAAGCAACATGAAGAGAGATTTTTTTTTTTTTGTAAGTCCGGAGGGATTTCAACAAACTATTCTTATGACATCTAAATAGCCTCTGTGTCTTTTATCTGGTTGAAGAGTTAAGATGAAAGACGAGAGTCTATTCATAAGATTTAATACTAATGGTTATTTAGCTTTCAGCATCATCAGTAACAAGTCCCATTAGTCCACTGTGTGTTTCATGCTTACTGCATATGTGACACAGTTATTTTATAGTTAAAGAGGTAACATTCCTCATTTCTACTGCAAGCTCCAATTCACTAAATGCCAGTGATACGAGTTCTGTATGAGTGAACCTAGAAGAAAACTTTTCAAGCCATATGCAAACTGTACTTACTGAACTTTTATCATTTAACTGCAGGCAAAAAATATTTAAATACCCACAAGATCCATCCTTCTAAAGTTTAAACCCTTCAGATTACAGTGAAAACTGATGCATAAACATTGGTATATGCTATTTTGAAAGTTAAAAGTCAAACATTCATGTATGCCTTTTTGAAATTGGAAATTTTTGAATTTGAAATTCAAACCCCAAACTATTTACGTCAGAATGTAAAGTTTTCTAAGAAGAAACAGAGAAGAATCCACATATTTCTCACTGCAGCATGATTCTAATCTGCTTTTTGTGTTTTTTTGCTTACATGTTTAAAGGAGACTTGAAAATTGCAAGAAATAAATTTGCTGATGTAATTTTAAAAACTGAACTCATGATTATGCGATTTAATGCTTCGAATTTAATTCATATTAAAATCAGTGTTGTATTGAAAACAAACTGAAAAACAAGGTTTAAAAGAACCTTTTAAAAACTAAGTCTGTGACAGAAAAAGATTTTTTCTTCTATTCATGTTTCTCTAGTTATAAGCTAGAAGAAGACATACAAACAATACTCATCTCATCTTATCTAAGATGACAAAGCCTATCCCTGGATTTATAACAAATACGCACCTACTTGTTGGCTACTCTCTTTATCAGTTGAAATTCCAAAGTGAAACTGGCAGGTGTCCAAATGCTATGTTAGTGAGAGTTAAATGTATTTTAAACTACAAAACAGTACATTTCTTTAAAACAGAATATGCAATAGGAGACCACAGAGACTAAAGCTTAAGGGTAAAATTTCAAAAAACTGCTTTTCCTGGAGTTAATGCTATTAAATTAAAGTACATGTTAGTACGTAATTCCTTTTTGTCCACAGAATCATTAGGAGCTTTTGCTGCTGAACTGTATAAATTAGTACCAACATGACAAATCTTTGTTAGAAGATAATGAGAGCTCTGTTAATATTTCCAACACCTCACCCTCCTGAGCTTAGGTAAAAGAATAACTTACATTCAGAATGTCTCGCTTGACAATGAGAATGAAATGGTAACCTAATCCTGGAGCTGTAAAAAGGACCAGACCGGTAGCTTTGAGTCAGAGCTACCATCTAAATTGAGTCAAAGTTTGTATTCTGGCGTACCTGGTAGCTTCAGCCCCAGGAGGTTGCACCATCGCACCCTGTTGGGCTGTGCACTTTACAGCAAGCTGAGGCACAGCGTGGAGAAAGGACGGGGATGTTCTGAGTCTCATCTTGATACAAGCACGGGATGGGGCAGGGACATGTATCCCGACGGGGAAACTCAGACATGTTCCAGGGTGCATTGATTCAAAGAATCCCAAAGACCTACCTCTGATGCCACACAAGTCTAGATGAACTAATGAACATATGTGTCCATATTACAAACACAGGCTTATTTTCCTAGAGTAATGTTAACATCTCGTACACTTTTCAAAAGCACCAGGAACTGCTGAATTATGCAGTTATTCCTTTTCAAGCAAGATCGGATAACACAACATGTATTTCCTTATTACATTACACAGACTGTTAACATAGAAGCCTGATGCTGCAAACACCAAGTCACGGGCACAGACCTACCTAATCCTGTAGCTCCCCACTGAGCTTCTGACATTTAGGACCCGATACTGCAGCAAGTAGCAACAAGTGCCACTGAGAAGAAACTTATCACACAGTGAGACAGGATTTTCGGAATCATGTACCCAACTGATTTTCAAAACTCATCTGAAATGTTAATAGACTTACTGTCTCTAGATTCTTTCCGCCTTTCCTTGCAGAATTTGCCTGAGGCATGACTGGAAAGCATTCATAATTAAAATTTGTAATACGTTCCTTGTTCTCTTACTTGCTTCCTGGGAGATGGTATTTGCTGTGCAATGTCTTGTTTCAACAGAAACTGTAAAAATAATACATATTTGGGATAGAAATATTTTTTGGCTAAGGTAGAAGGAGAGTGAATAGATGAAGAACAGGGGCAGAAAGAGAGGAGGGTCAAGGAGAACAATATCTCAGTTTCTGTCTGATAGTGATCTCCCAAATCTTTCCAAAGGTAAGACTAAAACTTTGCAAATTTTTCTGAGTCCACTTCTCTGAAATGCTCTTTGTTTTTCAGCTGCTAGATCAGTCAATTCATCATGCCAGGCTTCTATTCCTGAAGGCAATCAAGACTTCAATCTAAGCAGCCTAGCCTCAAACACTGCTCAAGAGCATCAAGCTTTCTGTCATTTTGAGAGTCTCCAAGATGTTGGGATATATCCTACAACTCAGTTCTGGGAAGAAGGTTTAAAAGATATATCCATTATGAAATTAATCCTACCAGGTACAGCCAGTCAACAGAACTGTAAACAAGCAAGCTAGTGGGACCAGGAGATCCAGATCTCCAAAAGCTGTGTTTTTTGGCAAAGCCCCGACAGCCTCAAGTGGGCCCCAGAATAAAACAACATATCATTTGATGATGAATCAGCTTTAATCATGATGTAAATCCATACTAAAGTTTTTAATGTTTTGCAAGACACTTTCTTACTAGGTAGGATTCAAGAATGCATCAGGTCTGATACAGAAGGGCTAAAATGTGCACAATTTTTTTCTACAGAGAGTATATAACAGACAGTATCTGAGAAGTCTGATGGAGCATTTTCTAAACAATAAACAGCTTATATCCAGCATTCAACAACATCCATAATTCCCATTATTGGGGGATTAATTGTTTTTTCATGATAACTAATGCCGTGGAATCGCTATGCTGTACTGTTAGTGCCTTTAGCAAGGAAGAAAATGTAACTTCACAGACATCCTCAGCTTTCAGTGTGTTACCCACAGTTCTGCACCAGTTCATGAGGAGGTACAGAATAAAAACGCTTTCCAGCCAAATGGGCTAAAGCTAACGGGGAGTAGACATTGTAGGAGATACTTTATGCCAAAAATAGGAACAGGTTGAAACTAGTCTTGTCGCCAGCAGGTTGACTGTGTCGAGCAGTCAGGGAATGGCACTGTTGCACTGCGAAGCCTGAGGCTGCCTGACCGCTGCGGGGAAAGCAGCTCCTATGCACAGCTGGGAACAGCCCCTCACAAGAATTCAGGTCCTGCCTCCCTGTCATGCCATACTTGAAAAATATTCATTTCCACCAAAAGTGGAGAATCCGTAACAAGGACCGCCCTCAGGAGGTACGATGTTCTTCGAAGCACACTCTTTTGATTAACGTGGACTTGGCCTCAAGGGACGAGCGCACCCATCCTCAGCGTACGTAAACTTGCTCTCGGTGCTAAAACTGACTCAGATGGACTGTGACCAATTCCCCTACCCCGCTGTCCAGATGCGTCCCAAGGCAGTCCCACGTTCAGGCTGCCATCCCAAGTTTCGGTTATCACAAAATGCCAACTGAGCATGCTTATGTGCACCATTTCCAGTTTATTCCAATTAATTTTGCAAGCACATGCACGAGGTAGCCTTCGGAGATTACGACCAGATTCTTACTGCTTTGAATCAAAGATCAGAGCTGCTAGTGCAAGGCCAAATCATGTGTCTTCCCTGGCCTGTCAGTAGCCCACACTGCTATCTGGCTTCTCTATATAATTTAAAGTGCTTCAGACTACGCTGAGTAGCAGAAACTAAAGTGGTAGCCTTGCCTCACACATCTGTGCAATGGAAAGCAATGCTACCATGACCACAGTGGGCTTTCCAGATTAATTCCTCGTGGGAGAGACTTGCGCTATCCAAGCCAAATTCAACATACTTGCAGAATAGGTACCTAGAAAGATGTCAGAAAGCATGTTTCTTTGTCTCTCTTGAGGTTATAATGTTGTCAGATGACATGGAAAAATAAAATAATTTCCTTGCCTGCGAGGTAAGCAACGACCCAGCAGTTTTTTAATAGCCTAATATTTTGATGCCACATGGCTTGGTTCTTTATGGGGTTTACCTGCCTAGAGAACTTCCTTTAAAGCATGCACAAACATTGCAGTGCTCCTTGGTTTAAAGTACCTAAAAACTTTTCAACAGAATCCAATGTTAATCTCCTGATACAAAACATACACATGTTGGAAAAGATAGGTCAAGAAAAAATGTGCATTCCATCTGAACTGAGAGGTGACAAGATTAATGACACACTCTTTTGAGGAGGGATATTAATTTTAGTCTTGGACCAGATTCTTGCAAAATTCGATGTGCTGCACCCCTGCTACGGAGTATTACTGCACTAGAAGAGCATAGCTCTCAACCACCATCTTCCTCCCTTCAGTTTAGGCAGTCTTTAGTTATTATGGGCCCAGAGCTTTACAGACATTGAAGCTATGGGTAGAAAATTTTAAACTAAATAGAAATTCTAGGAAGCAGATGGGCATGTTACGTTAGCCTGCACAGTCTGGCTGAGGAGATGCATTGCAATGCCACAATGTCTGAAGGTCCAAGTGTAAAACCTTGTGCCGACCAGCTAAGTGGTGATAAAGGTGTGAATGACTAATGTCATTCACCTCTCTTAGGACCAAAAAAACCCCCACAGAAAGAGAAGTAGACAGGTTAAAACAACTGATATACAATTAATAAGAAAATATCCATGTGTGGGTCTAAAAGTATACTGCTTACAGTCAGACTGAATTTTAGTTCAAAAGTTTTCTGGTTAGTACAGTATCTCAGTGAGTATTACGTGGTATCTCCATACGGTAAATGAATCACTGGGACCTCTGTCTACACACTGTACAGGGAACATACCTGGATATACCGCCTGGTTAAATAAAGTTGCAGACTGCTGTTTGAACCTTATTTTCGTAAGTCAGTGACATTTACCATCTGGTATCAGAGACCGGGATTACTTTGAAAAACCAGCAACTCATATGCAAACTGTGAAAGTGTTGTGGAAATACAGAACTATCCCAAACACCAAACTTCTGTTGAAGTATTTCAGGTTTCAAAGAACACAGTCAATTTAAAAGCCCTATTTTTATGCTTTATCTGCTTTGCTTGAAAGTAATACTCTGAGTGCCATAATTATTAAGAATAAGGGGTAAAAACATATGCACTGACTACATTGTATAGTCAGAGTCACTGCTTATAAAGATAACCAACTTATTTTGTGAGGGGCTGAGACAGGAGAGAAAATAAAAATTAGAAGAAAAGTGATAATTTGGACTTTGCCAAGTAGAAACATAGAAACCAGAAGAATTTCAAGACAGCTGTACTCCCCAAAGCTATTTAATTCTTCTTTTGAACATACTATAATTCCATTTATAATCTGCTAAGAAACTGTATTAAATAGTATTTTCTGGTTACAGTAACTTCAGATTTTTCTCAATGGAGAATTCTGAAGACAAAATTTGAAGCAAGACAAAAAACAAAATAGAGACATTCAGGCTCAGGTATTTAATTAGCTCCCAATAAGCTTATGTAGTTATAACTAAATCTGTCCAACTGTATCAAAGTTTCTCTGGAAATTTTATACTACAGCTGTGCATTCATGCAGAATAAAGATCCTTTTTCTTTCACTGTCATGGCAGTTAAGTCTCAATTGAAATAAGTTTTGAGGAGCAGACAACCCTATTAATCCCAGCTATTTTAATTTGGTGACTGATGAAAAGATTCAAAAAAGGAGATGGTTGTTAGTCAGTCAAACAATTTTTAACTGAACTCTGGATGCATATTGAGGAAGTAAAGCCTTTATGCATCAGAAGACAGGTTTTTTTATGCCTAGTAAATATTAAAGGTGTTAGCAATACTGCCACTTCCCTTTTTTCCTCAGGCAGGTGAAAAAGTAAAGAACACAAGCTGGACCAACTCTTCGTAGAAACTGTTGACACATGATAGGTTTATAAAGCAGAGCCCTGTATAAATTTCTTATTGAATGCTTCCAACATGACCAATTGCTGCCTCATGCCTAATGTTTCAGTTTACAACTGAAAGCAAGTTTGTGGTGAGAAAAACATCCTTCGGCTACACCATCCAATTTAAGAATGCAACAAAAATAGTGCTGCTGATGTATGCAGCACCTTGTAGTAATGGATGGGGATAATCCCTCTGTACTCTCCCCCTACTTCGCCCTGGTTCATCAGCTTCTCCCAAGATGTTTTCAGTATGCTCAGGACATGGCCCTCTCTGTTTTCGGTCTCATTCAGTCTCATCCAGGCTAGAGTATCTTGTCTCTACAGCCTGAAGAAGAGATGGCAGCTGGCAAAGACTCTGCCTGGGAAGAAGGCAGGTTGCAGTGGCAGGATTCAGGGGAAAACAGACAGAAGGGAGCAGGAATTTACCTGCCCCTTTCTTTGACAAGATGTATTTGCCGTTTGCTAATCATCTGCAACCCAGTGAAACTTCTAACCCAGCTGGAAGATCATACTAAGATTGTTTCTTCTGGTCTGCATCTACGCCATTTCTTTCTGGAAGTGGACCTAACTGAAGTAATCCTTGCCTTTGTCACCTCAATGACAGTAATTACATTTCAAACCAACTCAGAATAAGCTGATACTACTGCAACAGCAGCACTTAGGTATGTTTAAGGTATCAATTTCTGTTTGGAAAGCCATCTTTTCTCATATGGCAACACAGTTTTTTCTGAGTTTTTCATAAATAGAAGAGAGTTACTTTGAAACAGCGGCTTACAGAAACTAAATAACGGAGTGGCTACACAGTAATGAAATACATTAATTGCATACATTTCATCAGGAGATTCAGAAGTGACAAACATTTTTCTTCCCCAGTTAGAAAGTAGTTGACACATCATGCATTTTCACTTAATTAAAGCACTAATACTGATGCTTACATAGTTCTCTAAAACCTCTGGAAAAAATAACAATGTTCATGGGAAATATGACAACGTTTTTGTAAAGAAAAGTGTATTTCTATTTCATACCCGAAATACTGCTTCATCTCCAGCTATTTTCAAATCATCTTCCTTCCCAATGATTCTCTGCAGCTGTATTTGTTAAAACACAAAAAAAGCACAGGAAAATTACAAATTAGGTCTTACAAGAATCTCCTTTTTCAGAAACTTACATTAATTTCATTTTTTCGTAATTATAAAGTCATTACGTTTCTGCAAGGTTCTCTAGTCATGACGAATATTTGCATACTTAAGGATATTTTGCTATTCAGACACACTTTTTCCCCAGAATGTCTTATCTACTGTAGTTAATACAGCCAAGCAAAGCATATGAATCTATCTCATGCAACCCAGTGCTTGCTCTATTTTTAGAGATTTTCTTGCACTAGGAGCTTAGCATTCACTCCATAAGATTTTGAAACTCAGGGGTATAACATCAAGGGTCATTCAGGAAACAAAAATTATCCTGCGATTTTCATGCTGTCCTCCTAGATAGCTTTACATAGTCCTGCTACAGGCACAATCTTCTAGACATAAAAAACATACCTGTTCAAATGAGGTACTATACAACTAACAAAGAATAATTTAATTAAATAAGCAAATGTATTTTCAGAACTGGCCACTAAGCAGAATGTGGTTTGAATTTCCCCTCCACCCCACAAATAACTGAATCTTGAATGTGTAAGCTAAGAAGATTTTTAGAAGTACTGAAATGACTCGCATTTAAAAACACTCACATTTAAACTTCCACTGTTGCAAGCAGAGCTTTAAGGTAATATAGAAAGTGCATTAATTTGCAGCACCTCAAGTATATCTCAGCTGCAAGGTTTCTTTGACTGTATTTTAGGTCAACACTGCCACAAGAATGAGTGATTTAACATAGCACAGGGTATACCTACCTTTCACAGACATTTGCATGAATCCTCAAAAGGACAGCAAAAATGAAAGAACAAGGGACTTATTACATTTCAGGTATAGATATGGACTTACACCGATCACTCTGGATTTTGAGACTTTAGGAAAGATGCTTTTAAAGCTCAGGATTTTCAAAGCTGCTCAACTTGAAGCTACTCAAACATTTCTGAGTGATTCCTCACCTTGCCCATTAAAACTGGGAAAGAAAATCCATGACTGAATTTGCATAGCCATTATTTTGTGGGGTTTTCAAATCTCTTCTTAGGGCTTTATTTTTTTCCTTTTTTTGTTACGTTGTTCAGAGAAGCAATATGGGCTTTTAAGTAGTGAGTAGGAAAAAACCTGCTAACTGTTCATGTTGGCAAAGGTCTTCCCTTGGCCTTCAAATTTTGACTAATTCACCTGTTCTGTTTTTTTCATAGCCTCAGTTTTTTAGTTCCTCAGGATAGTTACTTTCTATTATTAATTTTGAATGACATGCCTTTATCGTTTTTATCAAAATAAATACTGTAAAACAAGACAATTAAACAGTACTAGCTCTTCTAAGTTTCTCCAAATTCTTTTTATTTTTAATCACTTACAAAACAATTGACTAGTACAGTAAAAGCATTATGAATTTCTTCATAGCAAAATAGCAATATAGAGCTCTGGATAAAAACACAACTACTCGCCCATATTCTCACTGAAAAATTAAATTTTTTCTTACCTGAAAAATCCCTTTTGCTCAAACACAAGAAATACAACTGCAAATACCTTCTTAACAAGAGAAAATATGATTTTGTCTTTTGGTTTTTATTTTTAAAAAAATCTGCAGAGACTACTAAAAAGCACAGACACACAGTATAATTTTTTTCACAAGTGTTCTGCAAGATTTAGTTTATTGTTTTCTTACACTGTATGTAATCCTTATAGTGCACAATGAGCAACTACTCACAGAAGGAGAAAAATTCTGCCCTCAAGAAATGGACTCTAATACTCATGTGCTCCATGTGACATTTATCTGTATTTAATATTTATATCTGTTCATCGTTGGAAGATACTAATGGCTAATTCAAAGATAATGAGACCTATAATGCACAACTAATGCCTCTTTAGTGAAAACAGACTAAGAAGTAATCTTTTCTGAAGAAGACAAGCTGGCAGAAAGGCTACGTCAGTCTTAAAAAAAAAAAAAGGTGATTTTGCATCTTCCAGTTGTTTTGAGAGAGATCAGTGCTTGTAGATGCTCTAGGGCTGCAGAGGTGCTCTGTACCAAACCACCAAAACTGCTGACAGTGTCGGATGCTAGTTCATTCAGCCCTAGATGAACCTCTACAAGTTTTTTTGTCATATCTGCTGTCCAAGACAAGTGAATAAAGTCTATTTAGAAAGTCTAAATCACATAGCTCTTGCTATGTGTTACCCTACCTCCATTCCCAATAGTTTCGAACTGTCGTTAATTTTACTTAGAAATCTTTCATCAGGACAGAGTTAGGGAAACTCCTCACTTGCTGGGGATTTGGGGATCTTTGGTAGCTGTACTCTCGATGGGAGGTCTCAGATTAATGTGCACGGGTTATTATGTGCACACGTCTGGAAATCCCCCTCACCAAGACTCATGTGAATGTCTCGGAAGTGCAGAGTTCGCAGAAGTATCTTACTGTCCTCACAAAGATGCAGATAATATGGCTCTGAGAAACAATTCTTTGCACTCTGGCTGGGGCAGATTTAAGGATGGCAACTAACATTTGTGAACGTGCCGTTTCTACCACATCTTCACCCTGGAGTTGCAGGGCAAAGCAACAGATCCTTGTAGATGCCCACCTCAAAATACAGATTGCTGGGCCCTAATTGCTGTGATTCTGGGCCCTAATACTGAAATGTCTCTTGTATTGTGAAAGTTTACCACTGAAAGATGGATGAAGCAGAAATTAAAAATAGACTGGCTTGAATACAAAGAAGTAGGGAGGAGAGAGAACAAGGGTCCGTCCCTGGGAAGGAACAGACTTTTAACTCCTGCTGGAAAGGAGGAAAACGTGCTCAGAAAGGGAAAGGCTACGGAGGACAGGATAAACTCTCTTGTTGAAAATGTGGAATTGCATTCAAGATCTCCTTTCCTGAACATTCATTTATGTTAGTGAAGAGGGAAATCCTGCATCTCGCACTCCTTGGGTGTCCGATCCCTACAGGTCCGAACCGCCTATCTCCATCCCGTGCTGCAGGCTCCAAGGACTTGGGCTGCAGAGTCTGCGTGTCACCCCTCGCCCTGTCCTGAACAACGCATCTTGTGCCTGTTTATCCAGTAACACGTAAGAGCTGAGATACACACAATTCCAAGAATGATGGATGTTTTGCAAACAAACAGGCAAAGTTCTTACCTCAAAGAATTCACAGTCTAGGTCAACAGATAACAGAGACGTACACAGATGTCTAATCAGTAGCTAACGGGTGGGAAGCAGGGAGAAGAAAAGGTGACAAAGCAAGAGAATGGAGTAGCACTGAAATTTATTTTCCCATCACATCCTGCTTACAGTAAGCGTCCTCCTAATTACTGCTTCTTCACTATGCTTTTCCAATGCCCTTTCCTTACATATGTTTCCTGATATTATTGTTGAATATAGTGTGGAAATAACTATAGAATACTTCAGATGTATTTCCTGAGATGCCACCTGGGACAAGACAAATGACTGATTAGCCACACAATTCACTCATTTATTAGAAATACAGAAGCTTTCTATGACGCATACAGAACTAGAGTATACAGAGATTAATGCACACACATTTTTCCAGATTCTTACATTCAAAAAAATCTTATTTTTAAACCTAACCTACAAAACCCAATTTTTGCTTTAAAATAGTCGCTGCTTACAAATGTTAAGTAAACAGTCATGTGAGAAAAATTCATCTTTTGACTAGCTTGCATCCTGCAGGACTTCTTTAAATTTAATGATTCTTGTGAGTTGACATAGCAATTTATAGTTGGGTTTTTTTTACCACTCTATATTAATTTACCAATACAGCCCATAAAGGAAATGCAAAGTAACAATCTATCTAACTTGAATAATTTTCATTTAATTTGATTGCCTCTACAGAAATCAAATTATTTTTAATGATCTGTATAATGTTTTCACCTCTGCTTTTGATGACTTTCTGTTGTTCATGCTGGCTGATTCAATTAGAATTACCTGAAATGGGTAATGGATACTAAATATATGACATACTGTACGTCTCCCCAGGAGGGTTGTGCTGTATTTCTGCAAGAATCTCCTTATTCGCTTAACTGACACAGTACCTATTTAAAGGAAGTACTGCTAACATGGCATTTTGGTGCAGAGGCGCTATGGGCTGAACATGTTCACGGACTTACTTTCCCCTGTAACATACTGTTTTGTAAATGAACAATACAGCCATAACGGACATATTTCAGTGATCAGTGCACTGCTACTCTGATAACAATTCACTAGGATTGTCCCAGGTTTAGTAGGTGAAAAATAAAGGCTTTAGTTAGAATTTGATTTCTTTTTAATCAGCAGAATAATTAACATTTTAACAGAGCAAATTCTTCAAGCTTAAAATATTTTGTGTAGCAACAAATGAGTGTAGGGTACCTGCAGGCTCAGTTAGGGGCTTCTGGGAACATTGTCTTGGGAAATGGTCTAATTTCAAGTATTAATTTAAAATAGTACTACTAAGTCTAAAAGTATTTTTACAATATTTTAAAATATATTTAAGTATGACTCATCAATTGTAATCTTGCTAAGAGACAATTCACTGAAAAAATGGTTATCAGCACAAAACACATGCTAACAGCTATTGTATCGTTAATACAGAGTTTAAGGCTATGAAAGTACACTTAAATATATTGTTGGTTATTTCTCTATCAACAGGTGTATCTTTGCAAGTTTTAGATTCTATGGTTCTCTAGATTTGTTGCATTAATGATCATCTTTAACTTTATCCTAGTGACAGAAAATAATTTGCATTGTGGTAGCCATTTCAGCTTCTCATAAAATTGTCTCTCTAGTCACCTCCAATATGAATGAAGGATCTGAATTAAGCTATGGGAGTCTATTCAAAATTATGCCAGTTAATTTTGCATTTGACTTTTGACAAGAAGTATTTAGTTAACAGTCTCCTGTTACATACTTAGAAGTTGAATAAGCTATATAATTAAGCCTATTCTTCTTTAAAACACCAGAGCAAGGTTTTCTTCGGTTTTTAAGCATCTGCCTTTCTCCCCCATATTTTATACAAAATATGGGAAAAACTGCTGTTACTGTCCAAAGTGTGAATTGGTAAAAAGTCTGTGCAACAGCAAACAAAATGAATAAAAACCAAGAGAGGATGGTAAAATTAAAAAAATTTATGAAAAATATTTAGAAAATAAAAGACTCTTCCAGATGTTTATTTAAATTAGCTCATGGGATTAAGGATGTACACCAACTCCTACCTTCCCAGTAACAGATTTTTAGATACAAGTCAAAGGAAACATTTATAAAAGTGGATTCAAATATGGTAAGTACTTCTATAGCAATGCTTTGGTATGTGCTCCTTTCATATAAAGTATTTTAGTAAGTATGTGATCATAGATTGGACTGAAAAATAGGCCTGAAGATTTTAATGAATCTTCATTTAGCAAATATAACCCATGGAACTATTTAAATACTTTAATATTAATATGCATATAAATACACATACCTTAAAGAATTCTTTCTTTTCAACTTGTTCATTGCCATCTGTATCCAACATTTTAAAGGCAATCTGAAATCCAGTCTGGGGTTCTGCAACAAATTGCAAAAGAACTTTATTGTAAATACACACACACACTTACACTAGTACTTAAATATTTAATGCAAAAGGAATATTGCCTATGGTTCAGTTCTCCATGGTTATGCATGTACATGATATTTCCAGTAAACCATATGTACCTCCTCCAATATAAGCAAACATTTTAAACTGCATTTTACTACCGTTTCAAGGGATAATTTATGCAATGGCAAAGCAAGAAATGCCAGCAGTGCCTAAGTACAGCCACGACTGTCCAGCTGATTCCAATGACTGTGAAAATGTTGTATGTCTCACTGTCCTGGTCTTACATCTTCTCTATAGATGTCCCCATAATCCCACGTCACTTCTGAAGTCCGGCTCTGCCTTGTTTATTAGAGCTCCTTTTCAGGTAAGAAGACTGGAAAGTGCCTTGAGAAACCAATAATTCTTCCCAAACTGCGTGAAAGAGCTAGTGTGCTCCTCCGGTACTTCTTGCGTGCGTTACTGTGTGCCGGTGTTTCCAGTCTCCCCCAGTCTCCCCAGCAGACAGACCGAGGCTGTGATGGTGGCCAGCTCTCTCGGCTCCTGCTCCCGCTGTGTTCGCCCCAGGCCTTTTTTTTCCTTCCCTTCTCCTTCCTCCCTAAACAACATACTCAAATGTTAGTGAGAGGTAATAAACCACTCTTGCTGGCCTTTCTGGACAAAAGCATGTTTTGTATGACTCCCATCGAGCTGATTTTTTCAGGAATTTTATACAATTTTACCCTGCATTTCCTTCACTGAGTGGATGTTTCTTTTCAACGCAAAAATGTAATGAGTTCTGAATCTTGCAGGCGCTATAAAAACATGGTGTGTTTTGAGCTCCTTCCCACAATTTCCTGATCTTACTTTGCTTACAGGAGGTGGCCTCGCTCATTAGCAAGCCCACACAGGAGCAGCATGCCGCTGAAATGTAGTTACAGTTCACTGCAGTAGCAAGCACTTATCCCAGTAATTTCTGGAGCAGGTGAATTAATTCCACAACCCAGTCAAGTCAGGCATTAATATGAAAGCCATGGACTTATCGTCTCTAGAATATATTCATGTTTCCAAGAACAATGTTGGACTCATGAGGGCAGTGAAGCAGTATCTCTAAAAAACTCTTAATGCCTTCAGAGTTTTTCTTTTGGAAATATATTCTTCCAGCTCCATCCTGTAAAGTTTTAAGTCTTGCTTTTTTTTTTAGAGAATTTTTCTGCAAAGGGAACAAGTTAAAGAAATATCCCATTCCTTTTAAGTGATAACAAGACGGTTAAAGACAGTTCTATTTTTACATTTTAGAAACAACTACATCTTCAGCAGCCAACCAATGTTCTCTGTGGAGCAATCTTGTGATGCAGGGATATTTTATAAATACTGCTGCAATCTGCATAGCAGAGCCCTTCCCCGGCAACAATCAATATGCAATAATCAAAACTGGCTTTCTTTCCATGGAAATGCCACACGTTAAATTTGTGTTGCTAGTACAAAAGCAAGGAGAGCCTATCCTATAACATATTTAGAGAATAAAAGTAACTGATGTATTTTGTAGTAATTCATACCATCTGTGTTGCAATTTTCAGATAAGAGAGCTGTTACTGAAAATATAGGACCCAAAGCTGCTTATACTGTTCAGAGATGACATACTTATCTGATATGATGTAACCCCAAAGGTATGTGTTCGTAAAATAAGCATAGTTCAAAGACTACCTCAGATATAGTTGTATTTAATTAGAATCAGGCAAAATTCCAAAATCTGAACAGAAGAGCTTCATCTTGGCTGTGAGTGCAGGTTAGACTTAGGTGCTTCCCCTCCAACTATTCCTACGTTGACCAAGCTGTCAACCTGTGTGAGTGGCTAATTGAAATGAAGCTTTGAGTAAAGGTGACAATTCAGTTCCTGGGCTCCTTCACCAGGCAGGGCTTTACGAGCCGCTCCATTAACCAATTGCTAGAAATGAAATTCAATAGCACTGGAAGAAAAAAGATAGTGGTGATACAAGGCACACAGAAAAGAGAAAAGGGGATCACAGCGGGCAAAATAAAACCTTTGTCTGCCACAAAATTGCGTTTTCAAGTTCAGTGTTGTTACAGACAGTGCTTTCATAAGCCAGGCAGCACGGTCTGGTCAGCGTGTCCTGGAACCGGGACTCTGGAAACCTGGTGACTCTTATCCTGTTTTCTTATTGCTCTGTTGGTGACTGAGAAGTAATTTAAATATTAATGGCTGCTTTAAGTCTCACATTAATTCTCACTAGTGAGAGAGACAGGTGGTGTAACGGGGAGCTACTGACACGGGATACTTGTTAGGCAAAGATAGAGGCACTAACACTTGTTGACATTTGCTTTCAAACTGATAGGTATGATAGCCCTCTGTGTAACCAAAGCAGCAACATCAGCGCTGCATTTTTATCCTGCATCAAAAGGTGCCTTTGTTTTTGCAGTTCAATACATTCCTATGTAAATTCTGTGAAAAATAGTGTTACCTGATTGTCTGGAGAAGTGGAACAACTTGCTCTGATACTACTTCAATTTTCTAATTGTTTCAGCCAATAAATCAGCATGAATTTACTTTCAGCTGCCATAGATTTTTAAAGAAACAGAATCTTTGGCACCTCTTTCTGCAGCTTTAATTAAGGTATTCTTCTGAAGTTATAGTGTGGCTGTTGTGGTTGTGCTTTCTGAGTTGCAAAAAATATTTTAAAATCAGCTTTCTAACTGGGCTAGACTCTTCTATTATTTCTGATTTTAAAACCCACTTGAACACATGGTATAAGTCATGTTCAAGTTGCGTGTAGCAGTGGACAGTCACTACTGGTGAAACAGTATATTTGTATGTTAAATAAGTTATCTTAATGCATATATACTATTCAATACCCTGTACTAGCTGAAGTTTCCCGGGAAATCACCCTTCATGCCGTGTCATAGGAACTAATGCACTTCTGCTGAGAAATGACAGAAGTTGCAAAAGGGCTATCTAAACTCTGCGAGAGGTGTGTACCGACGGTCATTATCTGTGAGGGTTGGACATAAACTTGTCTCCACTCTCTGGAGACCAACGTTACTTGTTTGTACTACACCATGAGAGGGTGGATTTCTAGAGCAAGGAAAATTTGTCAATTTGTTTAAGCACCTGCCATGGACCTCGCAGCCACAGAAGTGACAAGGCTCAAGCATCTACAGTCTATCGGGATAAGAACGACTGCTTCCTTCTCTTCTTTCCCCACCCACTGATACCATGAGATCTGGTACACGTGGTTTCGTCCCTTGCTTAAAATGTTAGACCTATAGAATTCAGTCAAACAAGACTGCATTTGGACTACTTCACTACTAGTCTACAGGTCTCACTGCATCATGCTCATTGCACACATCTTATCTCAAATCTCGGTATTTTCCAGCATCACCTACACTTCATCAGAACAGCACAGGGAGGTGGCAAGGATGGCACAGACTAAGTATGGGTGAGGAAACCCAGAAAATCCAAGATCACTTCCATGCACAATAAAAAAATGCCTGCTGTTTGCAGATAAAGCAAATACCAAATAAATTTTTTTTTTTTAAAAAGTGTCTGATAGAGAAAAGGGAAGGAGGCAAAGGAAGGGACAGAAATACATGCAAAATACTTGGAGGAAATAAAGTCAAAAGGAACAGAGGGGGGAAAAAAAAGTATTAAAAAGTCAAACAAAAAGACTCTGCAGAATTCTGCTGTTTATGTATATCATCCGTTGCATATCTGAACACATGAATAACAGGCAACAACCTTTCAGACACCACAACAGCGTTTTACACCACTGCGTGAGCTGTAATGAATGTTAATGTCTCATTGTCCAGAATGACTAAAACTACTATCCAAAAAGACAAAAGACTACTATCGTCCCCTCATTATGTGGTCCTGTAACCAATGTCTCCCCTCTCTCAAAGTCTCTTGGAAGACTTTTCTGATCCCATGGTGCAGGGATTATCATGATTTTTGAAGTACTGCTGTGGACCAATGATGACACTATGGAAGTAAACTGCAATCAATTACAGTTATATCCATTTACATTAATGCCTTATCACTCTATATACAATAGTTCTTTACGTTTTACTATCATGTAGAAATTTAGAAGCTAAAAAATATCAGAAAAAGTTCTTGGAAAGCTGTTAGTAGCTGAGGATTTATGCATATATATTTTTAATATGTAATACTTACTTGTAAGGATTGTCAGCAAAAATAGGTACTCTGCGTAAGATATCAACCCTGAAATAAAAGAGTTAAAAAATGACTTGCAAAAAAACCCCCTCAAAACCCCTTATAGAACAACTTGAAAGATCAAAACTTATAAAGAAATGTAGTTTAACATCATATTAAATAGGTTATTAAAGTAAGCCGTGGTATTATTTAATAAAGTTTTTACTTCTGTTTTTAGTGCTCTGAAGGTGAAATTCCCTATCCAGAGACTCATCAATGCTGATGTCTAAGCAAGAAAGTAAGGTTTATTTGGTATTAATAAAAGGCCTACACTAAATCTTTGGATTCGCACTGAAAACATTCAATGTTTATACAAAAGGCAAATAAATTAAATGCGCTTTGTCACATTTAGTACCTGGGAGGAGAACTACTCTAACGTTACCCTGAAGGATCAAAGTCCTCCATCCTTTGGCAGGCTCGCGAAGGCGGAGAATAGCTTCCCTCTAATTCTCAAGGGGAACATGGCAACACGCAAAGCTGCCAAGCTGCTAGATTGTGCTGATAGTATTGCTGGGCTGCATGCCAAGAGGAGGCTTCTTTTTTTTTTTTTTTTTTTTTTTAAATAGGAACATGTCCTTTCTACAAGGTGAAAGTATTTTGCCCCCTTTTGAAGGAAAATTCCAGTGTTTTCCTTTGAAATACCGCCTTAAGTGAAAAGCCTGAACAAACACAAAGATGTGATAGCGTCAAAATAGAGCATACGAGCTAAAGATACAGAGCGCATAACGAGGGTGGTTAAACAACAGAATCTGAACCATCTGCCCTGCAATAATGTTTGGAGAAAAAAATGTAAAGGGCTTTTTTATAAATCACTTTTCAAAATAACTGAGCTACTTTTAACTTGTGAGCTAAACATTGTATAATGCCGGAACTGCTTAAAATAAGGAAGTTCAAACATGCCTATCTGTGCAAAGATAAACTATTTTTTATAATTTATATTTAGTTAATTGATAGATAATTATAATTGATAGATAAGGAATCCACTTAAGCTTCAGTGATAAACAATTAACTTCTGACAAATTACTATGCAGAGCCAACAGCATTTGTATTTGACCTCAGATAACGACTTAACACAAATACCAGAGTTTAGAGGTATTAAATTGCTGAACGCAAAAGTCTGAAAATCCAAGAACAAGTCTTAGCTAAAGACAGGTCTAATGCTGATCCTGTTGCCAACTCACTCTGGTTCCATATCTCAAGCTTTTCTCTCCCTCAAAATAGGGCTATTCACCCTATTACCCAGCATGCATCATATGTAAATCAGCACAGTACTACAGTCATACAACCCACTGTGGAAATAAAAAATATTTTCATCTCAAAGATTTAGTTTTGCTTACAAGTTTTAGGGTTACTGCCATTGCAAGAATATAAATTATTATTTGCATTGCTGTAAAACTTGGAATCGTGTTCCTAGACAAAAGTGTCCATGATTTCTACAAATTCAAAACCAAACAGAGAAAGAACTCCTACTCCATTTTTTTTTTTTTTTTTTTTTTTTAGCTTATATGCCTAAGTATAAAAAAAACAGATAGAAACAAATTGGGGAGGAAAAGAAATCAAGCAAATAGTGTCATGGGCAGTGATCAAGATTCCTGCTCCCTAATTTTGTTTTGTGTGTGACGCAGCAGAAGAATGTTTAAAGAAGAATATAAAGGAAGACAAGGAGGTAACTTTTCAAGTCTATATAGAAAACACCTCTGAGTCATGGACTGCAATGGTATCAGCACAAAGATCCCTGCCTGAAAATTTCACCAGCAAGTGATGAAGGCCAGCACCACTGGCCAAGGAGAAGTAGGAGTCTGCCTCCCGGCTGTCTTGAGATGTCCTGCACAGGGATAGTCTAGGGAAGACCTGGAAGGTGAAGACAAGCAGCTTATGCTAGATAAAACGGAACAAGGAGACCCCAGTATTGGGATACAAAAGAGATGACACTCAAAGGAGTCATGTAAAAAACCCCTATTTATCAAAGCATTTGAAAGGATATTAACATGGCAGATTATGTTTGTTAAAGTCAGAGAAAAAAAAGTCATAATAATTGAGATAAAAAATGCTAAGTGCCTGGAGAGTTCTAGCTATATGTGTAGACAGGGAACATTGTACCTTACAAAATTCTGCAGAAAGAATCTGCAAAATTTATATGGAGATTGTAGGATGTAACTTAAAAACCAATTTAAAGACAACACCCTGCTTATTGGCTCAACGGAGGAGCATGACGGCTCTATTCACTCGAGTTGCAGAGGGCTGGAATGAAGAGCCTTGCTAGAAATGGCAGGGGTGAGGCACAGACTCTGTTTTCATCATCTTATTGTAAGCTGATTGAAAAGTTGCTATAGTGAAAAAAAATTATTTATTGTTCTTTAAAACCTGTCTCAGTGCTTTAAAGCAAATGTACAGGCTGTCTGACATTTTCTGGCAGACTGATTATACTAAAATAATTTGCGATAAGATTTTTTTAACTTGTGGACTCATTTCCGTAAAAATTCTTCTTTTAATTTTATTGTCCTTTTACAACTGTAGTGAATAGACAATTCACCTTATCCATAAAGTAAATTAAATATTTTGGTAATTTTATTTTTCTTCTACAGTAATCATTACAAAGCTACTGAAATTAAAAGATGCAGTGCAACAAATTAAAAAAAACAAACCCAAACCAAACCAAAACATATAGGAAATTATATTGATGTCCAAGCAAAATTTAAAAGATAAAAGCTTCACATACTGTTGAATGACTCAGCATACTTGCAGCCAAGTATTTGCAGTTAGCATTGGCAAAATACTGTCATTTTCTAACATTAAGTGAACTTTCCCTATCCCTCCCTGGAAATCTCTACCCTCAAATTTTATAGCAAATGCTGACAGTACAATATTCTTATTGCTGAATAAATTGTAAAGTACACCCACAAAATATGACGTGAATTTTAAAACTGCCCACTAGAAGGCAGAATTCCCTAGCATTACATTTAACAAACTGGACTCATGACAGTTTTCCCTCTACTTGATATTTAAATAACAATTTGAAGGTAGTTAAAATAATCTCAGCTAAACAGTGGAACAGGTGTAGATTCATTATTCTGGTACTTGTAGAAGCAGTATTTAATACATAAATACACAATACATAAATATTTACATTTTAAAAATGTAATAATAATGCATCTCAAAGCAAAAGCATCAAAGTCACTGAAGAGGCATCATGACCAAAAACTGTACAAACTCTGTGTGTTGTGGAGACATATGGATGACTGCACTGAATGTTCCTGCCTCATCTCAAACTCCTACCTGACCTTTGAAGGACACAGCATACGGACCCACAGTCCTAAGCAAGGGGAAATCAATGCCTTGTCCAGAATGCAGAAGATGTCAGGCTGAGCGTATCACCGAGCCCACTTTCTGCCAAGCAGTCAGCTGAGAGAGGTGCAATAAAAGGAGGCTGCACTGATTTGCTATGTTTTCACTTTCTGTTGGTCGATTCCCAGTTTTCCCAGGCAGAGTGCTTTGGGGATTTGCAGTGTCAACCAGTAGCAAAAAAAAAAAAAAAAGCCTCTGAAAAAGCAGGGATAGAGAAAGAATATCGAAGAATTAAAGACTGGGAATCTTTTGAACCAAATCATGGGAAAGCACATGATGATTAGCAATTTGAAAAGGCAGGGAATGACTATTCAATACAAAATCCAATACAAGTCCAATACAAAATTCAGTACAAAATAGGATAGGACAAAATTATTCAACTTGTTCAGCGATGGGCTGCTGGGGTATACTGGGGCTTGCAGGAGTGGACTGACAAGCAAGGCACCCAGCTGAAGACCCCTCCACGTCTGCACAAGGATGCAAGAAATGCAGTGCAGGCAGAAGATGCCACGAGGCCAAAGGGCAGGCGGAACGCTGCAGGCTGGGATGGAGGGATGCTCTCTTGGCACAAGCTGCCAGCCATGCCTGGCGATCTGCTGTGCGTGGAGAGAGCGTGGCTCGTGCCTGCCAAGGAACTGCAGCAGTGCAAAGGCAGCTTTATTTTCCAGAAACGTCCACCGGATAAGTGATTCGGGCTGAACTCTACGATACAGAAAGTTTGTGAATAGGCGCTCTCAGTCTTTCTCATTAATTTGGGGCTCTCAGTCTTTGTTACTGGTGAAATGGTTAATTACTCATCTATTTGGTTTCCTTGATCCCCTTGTTTGTTTTCTCCCTTCAATTAATTTATGCTAATGACGTGTTTATCTGGTGTTCTTTAATTCCCTGTTGTTATACAAACAATAACCCAGCTCTCAGAGTTTTCTTTTTACATAGCCTGATATAAGGTGGAAACGCTGGGTGAAAAACCAAAGCACAACGGTGCTGTGAAGGGCCACCGAGCTCCTGAAGAGGTAGAAGTAAGTTCAACTGCTCTTGGAATCAGGGATGCCACTTTACATAACTAGGTACAAATTTTATTTTTATTCTTAGTTTCTGTGCATTTAAGTTATATAGTGAAACAGCAGCTATTAACAAGCCTTAAAAGTCCATTTTGTGCTGAAGTCATCCCTTTGGCCCCTTTCTCTTCTCCAGGTAGGCTTTCTGATTTCTTTCACATCTCCTCCTGCACCTCAGAAGGCTTTCAATTCCCAGCCCTGCCTCTTTATTCTCTCTTGCATAACTGAGAGATTTGCCAAGGAGGCTGCTACTGGCTAGATGGGGATGAAGTCAAATCCGTGAAACCTTCTTTAAAAATACATTCAATTCATACCACATAATGAGATAAAAAGCAAGATGTATTTTTCAGTATCAAAAGTGCTTGTTACCTTTATCACCAAGCTCTCTGAAAAAGGTTGGTCCTGGTTTAGCTTTGGCAACACAAAGTAGTGCAGCATCTACCTCCTTTAAAGACACAAACGAGAAAAGATAAAGCCAGTTTTGAAAGAGAAGTCTATTTGGTTGGGTAACAGAAAAAATGCAAGTTCTTTTGAAGAAGGAAAGGAACATTTTGCTTACCTTTTTTGTCAGCTTCTTGGCTGAGGCCTTCCCTATAATAAAAAAAATCATCATCATTCAATAACAAACTGACTTCAAACTTTGATCAGGTTCTGTGGCATTTCTTCAGATTTTTATGGGAAAATGCTAAGTAATATGAAACAGAATATTCTGCAACAGGCAGTTTGTTTCTAATTCCCACAATGATCAAGAAAGGACAACATTTAAAAATAATATGAGCAGTCTGTTCAAATGTTCTTGCAAGCTAGATGAAACCACAGCCCACTTTGGTATCTGTGACTGACTTACTAGTGTGATTTTGCATATTCGCTACAAATGTAGTACAGATTCCAAAGCAAGATTATACAGTAAGAAACAACTGTAGTATTTACAAAGGGATTTGCATGCACATATAATAGTCCTTGAAGTACAGGTTGAGTATGCAAAAGCTAAGAAATGCTAAAAAAGAGAATGAAAATGTTGATGTTTCTATTAAGCAGAAGTAAATCGAACAACTCTGCCTCCTGAAACAGCATCAGATGAAACCATGCAAACTCCTAAGTGTTGATTAGTAGGTTAAAGTCGATACACTCAAACAGGGGAGTCACTGGCAGCGGTACAGGTTGTGTTCCTGTGTAAACCGCCCGTTTGAGGAGCTGCGATGTATGATCAGTGGAACGTTTCAGCTGGTTAGGCAGGGACCACAGGAATCCTGCAGTCATGGACTGGCAGGAGCTGTGCTCCATCCCTTCTCAGTCTACCTGCCGTTATCACGCCAGCCAGCCTCCTCAGCATTGCTCCTCGTACAGTTTTTAAACGCCCGTGTCCTTCACTCTCACCACTCAGCCCATCGCTCCCTTCCTTCCTTCATCACCAGCTCCTCCGGACTCCAGCCAGCCGTTCCCTCCGATTTATTCACACTGTGCAAGCACAAGCCGAGCTGCTTGCGCTCGCCCTGAGGACGGGTGCCCCTGCGTGCCGCAGCCCGCTTTGCTCCACGCTCGGACTCCAAGGCTGGCTCTGCTGCTGCGCGGGCATCTCGCGGCCGAAGGGGCACCAGCGCAGGCTGCTGTCTGCGAACGCACGTGGCGGAGGCAGCGTGGTGGGCAGCTCTCAGCAAACTTCTACCAAGCATTTTCACAGGCTCATAATTTAGCCAGAAAGAGGTGCGTTCTCAGTACAACAGCAAATTTCCGTAATGCTGGCAAAAGACATGCCCAGCTGCAGGGGGTCTCCACCAGCAACTTTTGGCTTCGGACGAGGGAAGCTGCTGGAACATCTCAACCAGCGATAGTTCATTTTTCAGCACAGGCAAACCAGTGCCCTGGTCTCTGCTCCCTGAACTGGCAGTAACAGTTTTGCTGATAAATTCCTCTCCCCATCCCCCCTCCCTCAAATCAGCCTAAGGCAGACACCTGGCACATAACATTTCAACTCAAATGTTTAAGTTTGACAAAAGTTATAAGCAACTAAAATTAGGGTTTTAATACTGGAGTGTTGAGTGACCCTAGCAACAGGTGTTGCCAGCACCACCTGTTACTGTGGATGAATACATTTTTGTGCACTGCCTGTACATATATTTACACCCATACACACACACACATATAAAGCTACATAGATAGATACCTTCTAGCTCAAAGGACATATGAAATCCTCTACTTTGCCTCATTTGAGACAAAAGAAGTCAGACTAATAACAGTCTGGGAGAGCAAGCACAAATCACTACAGCCAGTAAGGCTGAGTCCCGAGCAGAGTGATGCAACACCACAGTTTAACACTGTTCACTGCTGCAGAGCATTTTGATGAATGGCTATTTTGCAAATTAAGTGATTCAGATCTCAGCTTTGAAATGTCACCTCCTCTGTACAGCACACTTCAACGTGGAATTAAACTACAGCAGCTCTTTCAGCTCTGGGAGACCCACACAGTGAGAAGCCTTATAGGAGGGAATGAGTCAGGCTGTAGGTCTGCGAAAAACAGTTTCTGAAAGAAAAAAGGGGAAACCATCCTGCAATGTTTTTTGCTGTAAATGGTCTTTGTACTTGTTGTCTGTATTAAAGCCAGCCATACACCCTCATTTGGTTAACAGCAGCTCCACTCATTCCATTCTCCTGGTGGCCCCAAGAGCATCACACCTGGGACAGCACCTGCTACCGCGGCAGTGCGCTGGGCAGGAGCCTTTTGCCGGCATCCAGGAGGATGATGAAGGGAGACAACCTGAACTCTGTGGGCTGGAACAGCAAAGGCACGAATAATTGATGCAAGGTAAGGAGAAAGCACTGGGAGCTACAGCTGAGACACCAGTTGGCCAAGTTTGTGAAGCTCTACACTTGGCTAAGTCCATGTTTCTGCGTGCTGTATTCAGCACTGTAACTCCGAAACGCTTCAGCTAGCCAGTTTTAGGGAACATATCCTCAGTGAGAATTGCCCTACCTTGATAAAAACTAAGAAAGGGAAGGAAAATCTGTTGTAGACATATGGACTCTCTTTTCACCAGCCAGCAGTCACAACCGCAACTGCCCAGAGCTCATAGAAACGGCTGTGGCAGCCATCAACATCTGCTCTCTCGCGTTCAGCTGTGGCCACCCTCCAGAGGATGTTTAAGATGCTGACATGCCGACTGACTTCTTTCGGAGATGAAAAGACAGTAACGACAACACTACAGAGGTGCTCATGCTACCCTTGACTGGGGAATCTTGGCATGGGTGAAAGGACTAGCAGAGAGAGGAAGCCTTTGCTGAGTGGCAGAAGAGGAGGAGGATGGTCACACCACCCCAGGACGTGGCGAGGGGCAGAACGAGGTGGGCGAGAGTCTGTCCCTGCCACGACTGACTGCAAAAGGGGCAGCTGCTGCAATAAAAGAGGAAAAAAGGCAGGAGGAAAAGGGACAGATTGAGAGGTAAACAAAGACATTTCTACTTTTCTTAGTAGTAAATACAGCAGAGTAATAAATGTGGAACCTTTTAATGGTGCTCTTCTCAAATGGGCTTCAAAATCAAAAGGTTTAATAACCTAGGCAGATGAAAATGGCATACAGATGTCAGCAAGCATGTGTACTGGTAGGCCAGGAATTTTTAGAGAAAATCTGACATGTGAGACACTAGTGTTATTTTTCATATTGCCGTTTGTGTGAAGTATGAGAAGACAATCTTATAATAATGCAATAATTTAAACTGTAGAATGAGTTTCCTCCAATAATTATTTGAATATTTTTCAAAGAATTAAATCCAGTTATATTCTACTGGTACTGTCAACATATAAAATAATCTGTGAAGACTCAAATCTCTGTTTTTACTTGCAAACATTAGCTCCTTTTATTGTAGCACTCACAATATTCTTTGAATACTGATTTAGCTCTTGGTGCTTATTCTCTCCATTTATTCACTTCCTAACAATGAGATCCCTTTAAACACCAACAAGGAAAGCTCTGTTAATATCGCACACTACCATATCAAACGTGCAGCTCTCTGAGGAACGAGGTCTTTTAAGGCCTTGTCTACAATAATTAGGAAAAGAAGGTTAATTCCTCTTTGCAGAAAATGCACTGCAAAAGTATGAACAGTTTTCTTAGCCAGTTCAGACACTGAAAAAAGAAGTCTCTTCCTTTCTATCAATTAAATCTTGGTGCTGTCATTCCTGACACATGACTACAAATACATCAGGATCTAAGTCTCTCTCTGAGGAATACAGGCAATGGTTATAATTATTAGGAACTTATTAATCTAATAAGTAAAAGATCTATACAATGCATTTTTCTACAGTTTTATTCTTTTACCTTGATAGATTCTTACTAACAGGTAAATTAATAATGTATTAGAAAACTTTTTTGTAGTAGTAACAGTCTTTGGTATCAGAAAAAGAAACTTGGAACTGTTATTGTTTTGAACTTGAATGAATGAGAAGAAAAACAACTTTTTTTTCCTGCAGAGCTGCCAAGACTGTGATGGAATTCTGGCTTAAAGGACAGTGAGTATTTTCAAGGGTCTCTACATATTTTACAGATGCTATCATCAAGTTTTCACCATTTATAGTGGGTCCATGAAACAACAATGAGGTACAGACACCTTTCATGGACAAAAAGCCATTTTAGCTTTTTAAGTTGAATGAATACTGAGTCTACTTAGAAGCACACAAATTCTGTGCTGTTAGCCAAGAAAGTTAGCTGACAACTGTAATTAAGAAAACACTGCCAAGAGCAGCTATGTCAGCCTTAATTTGCCTTCGGCAAACCTGGGTATTTTGTCACATATATTTCTTACATTAGAAGTGTTTCCGCCATCTATCAGTTTTTTACACTAAGATGTAGAATGGACCCGACATCAATGTTAGGATTAACATTAGGAATGGGCTGAATTGAACAAGTACCCACTTGCACTCAGTAACGCCCATTTACACCTGTACAGCTAAGGAAAGGCTTAGATCTGACAAAAGACGTTCAGAGCCAAAGAATGAACAAAAGCAGTAAGATCAACCATTACAACAATAATCAAATGCTAAAGCAAAAGTAGAGAAGTTACTACGACCTGCTAGAAAACATAATTTAACATGTCTCTTCAAATGACAAGAGTATATCATAGGTATCTTTTCCTAGGAGGACAACAAACTCCTGTCCTTTTCATCAGCAAAGTCACTGAGATGGTTTGACCAGGATCTCTTTTTAGCTCCATTTGAGACAGACGCAGTGATAACCAAGTACAAAAAAAAAAAAAAATCTCCTCCCAGTTTTTTAATTTTAGATGGCAATCATTGCTATCTTTGCTGAAGTTTGGCAAGTTCAAAGTTGTACTGGGGTACCAGGAAACCATTTTTTTTTTGTGAAAAATTAAGACGAGAATAGCATTAAGTATGTCACAATTCACGCAAACTCTGATTCCGCAAAATGATGAGTGAAACAAACCTTTTAAGCTGGACGGGATTTCGGCACAGTTGTAACCTGAGGATCAGGGTGTTTTAAAAACCAAACCACTGTGCACAGCTCATGCCATGGCCTTTACAGCAGAGCCCACCCTGCAGCCTTGCCTGCCATGGGAACAAGAATTTGTATTTCTCCGTT